AAATCTCCCTTTTATGAGTTACAAATTCTGTGGGGACGAGGGGACCTCAAATCCCTCACTTAAGAAAAAGTCCCAAAGGTAGAATTAACTTCTTTGTTCTGAAAGATTTGCTCTTGAGTCTACAATGTTAATATTAAACTACCAAACCTAGCACTAGTCATAGCACATGATCATAATTATTTATGAAACAAACAGCTAATGCCCTCTGCTGTGACACTCACGTATATGCTGACGATGTAACAGTGTGTTCAAATAATCTCTGACATACCTCTGTCTTTGAAGATAATCTGCACTAGTTTGGTGGGGTTGTGTTGTGTTGTGTTTTGCTTGTTTGTTGGTGACAGCGGATAATGAACTAAAGGCTTTGTGAATGAGAGATAAGCACCACTGAGCTACACCCAACTCAAGTTCAGCTATTCTTTAATGGTATTTATGTCAGAGAGAACAGAGGGAATCCATGTCACTAGAATAATTTGTAAAAACATGTTTAGGTATGTTGTGAAAGTTCTTCTGCACAGTAAATATTTCTCTGCTTTGGTAAACTGAACAAGTTTCATGGAAAAACAAAATAGCCACATTTAGTCAACTGTCCCTAGGAGCATTTGTTTGCCTTGCAAAAACACAAATGTAACATTTAACTTAAGTCCCTAATCTAATTATATTTATTTTTCTATTCATGAGGAAAACCAAATGCAAATGATTTCCACTTTCTAAAAAAAAAGTCTCAGTGTGATCAAACTCTACTTTAGTTTTCATATAGAAGACCAAGGTGGAGGCCAGTGAGACGGCTCAGCACGTAAAGGCACCTGCCACAATCCCAGGACTCACATGGTGGAAGGAGAGAATCCACTGCTGAAAACTGTCCTCTGACATCCACATATTAATGTGAGCACACTTGAACACATGTGCAGGCATGTGGGTGCAAACACACACACACACACACACACACACACACACACACACACACACACACACACACAGACACAAATAAATAAGTTTAAATAAATGGAGTTTTTTTACAAAGAAGAAAACAATAAAACATTGCCTCTGCTTAGGAGAAACAGCGTGATATCTCCAAACGGAAGACTGGTTAAGAATACAATCAGGCCGGGCGGTGGTGACGCACGCCTTTAATCCCAGCACTCGGGAGGCAGAGGCCGGCGGATCTCTGTGAGTTCGAGGCCAGCCTGGGCTACCAAGTGAGTTCCAGGAAAGGCGCAAAGCTACACAGAGACACCCTGTCTCAAAAAATCAAAAAAAACAAAAAAAACAAAACAAAACAAAAAAAGAATACAATCAGATATTCAGGAAGTGCATAGGAATGAAGCCTGCTAAAGCTGCAAGCCAGCTAACTCCATTTGCTCACTGAAAATCTGTGGGTGACAGTTTGGAGTTTCTGTCACCCCCAATCCTGATCATTTTGGAGCTAGTGCGTTGGCGTCCTGATGTATAGATAACCCCGTATACTGGCTAAGCGAGCCTCTCCCTGGAGAGCATCATCTCCCAGCATGCTGATCAGTCAGTATCACTTCTCCTTTACAAAGCAGGGCATTGACCCATGAATATATAACATTCAACCTTTAAAACCATCGTTGAGACCCCACTGAGTACATGGCTGGCTTTGCCTGGGACATTTGTGCTGTTGGCTGCTTCAAAAGGGCCACAGCAACTACTGCAATACAAGCACCTATACTCTTAGTGTTTTTATAAGACCAATAATGCTCACATGACCTTGACGCACAAGTGGGAGAAACCAGTTCAACATCCTTCAGGGTTTGAGGGTGTGTGTGTGTGTGTGTGTGTGTGTGTGTGACTAGAGACCAAATACAAGACCTTGTGCACACGAGGCAAACATTCTACCACCCTGCTACAGCACCACAGCTACAGACAGCCTAATGTTCTTTTTTTGTTTGTTCTAAAGTTACTTTTATTTTACCTGTCTAAGTGTTTTGCCTGCATGTATCTGCGCACCTTGGGCATGACTGGTGCTCACAGGAGCCAGAAGAGGGCGACAGGTACCCTAAGACTGAAGTTACAGACAGCATATGGGTTATGAGCCATCATTTGGCATCTAGGACTCGAACCTGGGTCTTTTGGAAGAGTAGCCAGTGCTCTTACCCACTAAGTCATTTCTCCAGGTTGTTTGTTTATTATTCCTTCTTTCTTTTTTAATTTTTGGTTTTTTGAGGCAGGGTTTCTCTGTGGAGTCCTGCCTGTCCTGGATGGCACTCTGTAGACCAGAGTGGCCTCGAACTCACAGAAATCTACCTGCTTCTGCCTCCCGAGTGCTGAGGTTAAAGGCATGTGCCACCACCACTTGGCTTATTTGTTATTTTTGACATAGTTTCTCATGTAGCTCTGACTGACCTTGAACTCACTATGTAACCAAGGAGACCCTGAATTCCTGTTCCTGTTTCACCTGCTTCTACCTCCCAAGTGCTGGGGTTATAGGTGTGCACTACGACACCAGGTGCCAAACCTAACATTCTCAACATCAGGAAGAATCACTACTACTTGTATGTGTGTGAGTATTTTGCCTGGGTGCTGGTACCGCATGGGTGCAGTGCCTGTGAGGACCACAAGAGGGTGTCAGATCCTCTAGAACTGGAGTTCCAGGTAGTAACTCAACCTAGGGCCTCTGGAAGAGCATCATGCTTGAACCACAGCGCCATCTCTCCAGTCCAGGAAGGGTTATTGACAACACCAGGCGATCTCAAACACTTGGATCACACAAATATTTCTAACTATTTTGAAACAAAAAGTCTGTTGTAATTGTATTAAATTGGTCCTGACACTTTTATACACGTGTAGAATGCGTGCTGAGTGCTGACACTCCCCGGCCTCTGGATGCTCCTCCTCTGGAAAGTCTACACTGTATCTCTCTTGTGTGTGACCCACTGAGTTTAACCAGGGCCACCTGTGTGGTCATGGGGTTGGAACTAACCACCAGAGTCTGGTGGGCTCATGAGACCACAAGAAAATGTTTAAATTAAACCATTTGAACTCATAATGTTGAACTGTTAAAATACAGTTTCCTCTCACTTCTTCTTTTTAACTTTTTATTTCATTTATTTCTGTGTGTGTGCGCGTACACGTGTGCAGGGCGTGGGACGGGAATCAGTGGGAATCAGTTCTCTCCTTCCACCACATGAGTCCCGGACTCACACACAGGTTGCAGGCTTGGTGGCAGTGCCTTTACCTGCTGAGCCCTCTTGCTCTCCCCCAGTTCCCCCACTTTCAACACGCCACTGTTGAGGAAACTCCGCTGTGCTTTTCCATAAGCACAGCTCTGGCAGTGCTGTCCTTGGAGTACATTACCAATTCCCAAATGCATGTCCTTGGCAACTTCCTTCAACAAATAAAACTGTTCTGTAAACAAATACCCTCCTTCCCTCCCCACCTCTCTCTCCGGCTATGACGGGAAAAGAAAGACAATTTTATAGTACATAGTTCTGCTGGCCTGGAAATTGCTACATAGAACAGGCTGGCCTCAAACTTGTGATCCTCCTGCCTCTACCTCCTGAAAGCTGGGGTTTATAGGCATGCTCCACAATGCCTGGATTGTAAACAATTTTAATGTGTTTTTTTTTTTTCTCCCCAGAGCTGAGGACTGAACCTGGGGCCTTGCGCTTGCTAGGCAAGCGCTCTACCACTGAGCTAAATCCCTAAGAACAGTTGGGGTTTTTTTGCTTTTTTTTTTCGAGACAGGGTTTCTCTGTGTAGTTTTGGTGCCTGTCCTGGATCTCACTCTGTAGACCAGGTTGGCCTCGAACTCATAAAAATCTGCCTGCCTCTGCCTCCCAAGTGCTGGGATTAAAGACATGCGCCACCACCGCCCGGCAATGGTATTTTTTATGAAGGACCAATCAAGTCTTCTTTTTTGGAACATTTAAAACACAAGTACCCCCTTTGTTCCATTCTAAGACCCTAGCATGCTACTGAAACCACCAAAACACTGGCTCTATGAATATCAAGTTCACAGGACTCAACAATCACCAAGTTCCATGTTTCACTATGGATAACACATTAACGGTTACAATGAAACCATAACAAAACATGAAATTATTGCTATTGTTCATTTATTTAATAATAAGCCCAAGGTACAGGAGTCCTACTGCCAGCAACTCTATCTGCCAGAGAGAAGCCACAGAGTGCTTCCCTGGAAAGGTAAAGTTAAAGGAAGTATGTGCAAACAGGAGGAGGGAAGGGTAATAGAGAGAAGAGATAGTCATGTCTCTTTCATACAATAGAAAATTACAAAATCAGTTACCTAATATTTATTCACATTTTATATAACACCAAACTCACCAAAACTCAGAGATAAGAAATCAATTTTGAAGAAACAAAAGGAATCGTATTACTAGAAAGGCACACAAAGAATGGAGAATTGTGCTGTGCCTGGCTGGGCATGCCTGTGACCTCAGCACTCAGAGGCAAAGCAGGAAGACTGTTAAGTTCAAGGCCAACCTGAGCTGCACAGCAAGACCCGAGCTCATAAACCCCAGGGCTGGAGATGCATCTCAGCAGCCGAATGCTTGTCTAATATGTACATGGACTTGAGTTAAAATCTAGCATCATAAAACCTGACCAGGTATCATAGAAATATAAAAACATCCCTAGATATACCAACATCCCTAGAACAGACTGTCTAGGGAATCCTGGTTCTAGACCATGTCCAGGAAAAACTCATTAAAACTGTCACTTTCAGTTGACTTAGAGCCAGATGTCAACGCTGGAAGTGAATGCACACCATCAATCTACCTCCTCAAACTAAACTACAAGGCACACATGCTACGGAGAAAAGTTACTTAGCATTGCGAATACCAGCCATTCTGCACTGACTTGGCTGGGAGTGGAAGCTAGTACTGAAGTTCCAAAGGATTGTAGACATTCTTAAGTTGGTTTCTAAATGCACCAGAAGAAAAGCAGAATCCCACATTCTGAAACACTGTAAGTGCAGTCTAGAAAAGACCTTATTGAAGCTTTACAAGTTACTTTACTTTTGAAAGCATCCGTGGCTCCAGGGGCGTGATTTTTGTCTGGATGAAACTTCAAAGCAAGCTTCCTATAAGCTTTTTTCAAATCTTCATCACCAGCATCTTTTGTAACTCCAAGAACTTCATAGTAATTTTTACACTTGTTTATGCTGTGGACAAGAAAGGGTATGATATAAATTTCAAGCAAGAGCATGATGTCACTCTCTATTAGAATGGTATAAGGAATATCTGTTGGTGTGATGACCTATCTAGGCTGTTTGCGCCATTCTCTTTGGTAAACAGACAATTCCTCCAGCCATAAGAATGTCCACATCATAGTTTATCAAAGCTACAGAAGTATAGCCCATGGTGAGTGCAGGTGAAGGGCGGTGCATTCACTGTAACTAGAGTGGAAGAGACTCCTCAACAGCACGTCACAGCTAAGGAGTAAACACTGTAAGAAGTCTTAGTGCACAGTGCAGATCTAGCCAAGCACAAGAGCAAAGCTACGTGGTCTCCCATCTGAAGCCAAGCCAAGCCAAGCTAACTCCACACCATGGCTACCGAGATTTTACATGAGTTACTCTAAAAAAGACCCAGGGTCCTGTGTTAATAAATCATTCAAAATTAATAACGGGGATTAAAGAAGACATGTTACATCCAATTTTCATCAGTCCATTCCTAGAGATTACTTAATGTACTTTGTCTTTACAAGGGTTTATACACTGAAGTCTGGAGTGTTGGAAACCTATCAGGAAAGCGGAGAAATACTGAAGGGAATGGAGAACACTGAAAACTCTAGGATGACAACATCCTACAACCAAATTACCTGACATCCCCAAAGCCAAGGCAGATGTAAGGGCTGGGAGCGGAGCTCAGTGGCAGAGAGCACACAGCACGCATGGGTGGGGCTCTGGGCTCGTTTTTTAGGAAATGTGCATTTCTTTGTACAATATTTTATAACTTTAGTTGTGTTCCATATTCTGTGTCTTGAGAGCATGACAACAGGTAAGCTAACTGGGCGAGCTGGTCACTAGGGGCAAAACTGGGAAGGATGGGGGAGAAAAGGGAAAGGGCGGGGAGGGGGGGCAGCTCAAGGGGAAAAAACCTCACAGACCAATTCAAAAAGAACTGAGCCAGGTTTTACCATCACAGTGCTTAGTACTCAACAGGCACCTTGTCTCTCCCTTTCTAATGAAAGTACCCATGATGCAGTGCGTACATGAGAGGAAACAGGAGAAGGGTACAGTTACAGAAATTAGTTTCCTTGGAGATGGTCACCAAGAACAGCAGCAGCTGCGGCATGGAGCTGGCCTCAGTCTAGGAGACACCCTACATGTGCCATGGCAAGCTCATTGGAGCCTACAAGATTGTAAGTCCCTGACACTGAACTTTACAGTGTGGGAGGGACTTCGCTTTTGCTTTGATATGATTTTGACTGTGCCTTGATTCTTTCCTCTTGGAATAAGAAAAGTAATGAACTTATTTTTCTATTTTACAGGAGCCCATGGTTGACAGAATTTGAACTTTTACAGACACTTTGGATATTTTATTTTTTGAGATAGGGTCTCTCTATGTAGGCCTGGTTTCCTGGAACTCTCTACGTAGACCAGGCTAGCCTCAAACTTACAGAGATCTGCCTGCCCCTGTTTCCAGAGTGCTAAGATTAAAGGCATTCAACACTATGCCTGGCTGATTTTGGACATTTTAAAGAGACTGAATTTTTTTTTTTTAAGATTTATTTATTTATTATATATACAGTATTCTGCCTGCATGTGTCCCTGCAGGCCAGAAGAGGGCACCAGATCTCATTACAAGTGGTTGTGAGCCACCATGTGGTTGCTGGGAATTGAACTCAGGACCTCTGGAAGAGCAGTCAGTGCTCTTAACCACTGAGCCATCTCTCCAGCCCGAGACTGAATTTTTAAGGCTTGAATTTTTAAAGATTTTGAGACACTTAAAGCTTGGAATATGTTTTATGTTGTGATATTGATATTAATGATATCTTGGGGACAATAGGAAAAGTTATGGCTTCACAGTGATGTGTTTGTGCATTAGGTTGACAAAGGGTCAATTGTGCTGAATAGTTTTATATCAACTTGACACAAGCTACAGTCATTTCAGAAAAGGAACCTCAACTGAGAGAATGTCCCCTTCAGATTGGCCTGTGGGCAAGCCTGTGGTATATTTTCTTGATTGATGACTGGTGGGGAGGTCTCAGCTCACTATGGGTGGTGCCATCCCTAGGCTGGTGGTCCTGGGTTCTATAAGAAAGCAAGCTGAGCAAGCCATGAGGAGCAAGCCAGTAAGAAGCATTCCTCCATGCCTCTGCATCAAGTTCCTGTCTCCAAGTTCCTATCCTAAGGTCCCTGGACGATGGACTAAAAGCTCTAAGGTAAAATAAAACCTCTCCTCCGCAGGTTGCTTTTTGTCATGGTCTTTATCATAGCAACAGAAGCCCTAACTAAGGCCACAGTGTTAGGATTCTGTTGCCAGTCCAGCTGTATGACCGCACATGCGCAGTTCAGGAGCTAAGCAAGGGGTCTTGCATCTTATGTCATCCATGTGCTTTGTGATTGCCCATTGCGCGCAAGGCAGTCACACAATCAGCGCATGCGTGGCGTAGCTCTGTAAGCCTACCTGCCCATGTGCATGGGAATCCTTAAAAAGCCGGACCCAGACTCCTCCTCTCTCCTCTCTGTTCTCTCCTCCCCCACTATCTCTCTCTCTCTGCTCTCTCCACGAGCTTCCCCCCACCCCAATAAAGCTCTGATACTGGGTTTTGTCGTGGCTCGTGCCTCATGATCTTACTGCATGGTAACCAGTGCCGCTTATCATTTTTAAAACAACAAACAGTCTAAATGAAAGTCCTTTGGAGATTCTTTGTCCTAGACATGTTTAGAACTGTGTCAGGGAAGGTGTGGTGGCGGAAGGCGGCCCTGCAGAGCATCTACTGTGTACCAGGTGCAGCCCATGAGGACCACAGATGAAGATGAGGACTGGCTGCCCACTGTCACTCTAGTTTGCTTTCTGCTTCAGGACCAAAGGGAACCTGAGGAGGAAAGGGTTCATCTTAGCTTACACTTCCAGGTAAGTTAGTTACGGAGGGAAATCCTGCACTCAAGCAGGAACTGAAGCAGAGACCTCACTCACCCTGGCTCACTCATGATCAGCCAGCTTTCATAATATAACCTAAGACCACCAGCCCAGGGGTGGCACTTCCCCTAGAAGGCTGGTGTCTTAGAGTAACTATTGCTGTGATGAAACACCATGACCAAAAGAAAGTTGGGGAAGAAAGGGTTTATTTCACTCACAGTTCATTTAACAGTTCATCATCAAAAGCAGTGAGGGCAGGAACTCAAACAGGGCAGGAACCTGGAGGCAGGAGCTGATGCAGAGGCCATGGAGGGGGCTGCTTACTGCCTTGTTCCTTGTGACTTGCTCAGCCTGCTTTCTTAGAGAACCCAGGACCATCAGTCCAGTGATGGCACCACCCACAATGGGCTGGACCCTCCCATCAATCACTAATTTTTAAATGCTCCACAGTTGGATTTTATGGATGCATTTTCTCAAATGAGGTTCTTTCCTTTTAGATCACTCTAGCTTGTGTCAATCTCGCATAAAACTAACCAGTACAACAGGTTCTCCCACACCAATGAACAGTCAAGATAATTCCCCACAGATATGGCCACAGGCCAATCTTATCTGGGCAAACCCTCCATTGTGATTCCCTCTTTCTTTTTGGTTGTGTCAAGCTGGCCATACAAACTAGCCAGGACAATTACACACTTCAAGTAGTGCTCCATCATATACTCTTTACCATATGTGGTGGTCTGAAAAGAAATGCTCCATATAGGCTCATATATTTGAATGCTGGGTCATTAGGGAAAGGTGCTATTTGACAGGGATTAGGAGGTGTGGCTTTGCTGGAGTGGGTGTGGCCTTGTTGGTGGAAGTATATTACTGGGGGTGGGCTTTGGGTGTCAAATGCTCAAGTCAGGCCCAGAGTCTTGCTTCCTGCTGCCTGCAGATCTGGATGTAGAACTCTCAGCTCCTTCTCCAGCACCGTATCTACCTGCATGCTGCAAGTTTCCCACTATGAAGACATTGGACTAAACCTCTGAAACTGTAAGCCAGCCCCAATTAAATGCTTTCTTTTATAAGAGTTGCTGTGGTCATGGTGTCTCTTCATAGCAACAGAACAATGACTAAGACACCCTACTTCCTCACATCACAGCTTTTCCATCAGATATGTGCTATTTTTCTTGTTAATGTGGTCAAATGCCTGACTACAGCAGCTTAGAAAGCACTTTTGACTCACACTGGTGGGGAAGCCCGTCACAGCAAGGAAGATGTGGAACCTGACCACACCGAGGTGCAGAGAGCGCTGCCTGCCCACTGCTCAGCCTGCTCCTCTGTATGCAGTCCAGCCCGGGAAGGGACTGCCCAGACAGTGAGGGTCTGCCCGCCACAGTTAACCTACTCCAGAAAATCCCTCACACATGTGCCCAGATGAGTCTGTCTCCAGGGTGATTCTAGGTCCTGTCAAGTTGCCAGCTGAAATAAGCGTTTGCCATGTATTTAGTTCATTCTTTTCTGAAAGAGTCAAACTTTCTGCGTCCTTAATAATAAAACAAACTTTTAAAAAGAAACTTCAAAGGACAGGTCATTTACACACATGTGCATTCTCCCCCGTGCTGTTTTGGAACTCTGCCAGCAAGAAAACCACACATACATGCACACCACCCACTGTACCAGAAACATAAACCAAAGTAAATCTCCTTTCTGAACAACTTTAAAAGACAGGGGTCCCCATCACCTATTTGGGAAGAAAATATTATATAAGGGAGGCCCAAAGGACCTGCCTCGTCCACTGTTTATGCCTCCTTTGGTGGACTGAAAATATAGTGGCAGGAGAGGAAAGTCACTTTTTAATTCCCTCTCTCTTTTTAAATGTGTTATAGATGTTCATTTCAATTGATTCCAGTGGCTGGGGATGTACCTCAGTTGGTAGAGTGCTTGCCTAACATGCATGAAGCCCTGGGTTCAGTCTCCAGCATGGCACAAACTGGGCATGGTGGCAAACACCTATGACCCCAGCATTCAGGAGGTAGAGACAGATCAGAAAACCAGGGTCATCTTCAGCTGCAGAGAGTTCTAGACCAGGCTGAGCTATGTGAGACCTTGTCTCAAATAAATAAATAGGCTCCAAATTTAACTGGTGTTTAGGGAAACACTTCTGGGTCAAGGCATCATTCCTTTGATGTGTCTAACAACTATAATTTCTCTTCCTCTAATTTAAAGAACTGAAATTCAGCAGGACCAGGCACTATAGTCTGGCACTTGCAATCCCAGCACTCTGCAGGGAGGCTGAAGCAGAAGGAACATGAGTTCAAGATCAGTCTAGGCTACGCAGCAAGAGCTGGTCTAAACAAACAAACTAACAAACAAATGGGCAGAGGGAGACAGCGGAGACTGAAGCTTACACCAAATCTGAAATTCCGGTCTCTGTTATTCAAGTAAGATAGAGCTGAATAGCAGTCGCAGGCTGCTAGATTCTATAACTGCCTGCTAGATTACACACTGACTGGACATGTTTAAATACAAAATGGTTTTACAATGATATATTTAAAACTTCAAATAAAATTCACTTTCCTCTATTTTTAAAACCTATTTCAACTCAAAGACCCAGAGCCTACGGCACAGGCTGCTTGCTCACTTGCGAAGTTACACCGTTTTTCTTCAGTCTTACTGTAACTCTGCCCTTACGCAATGGGTGCAGTACCATTGCGTGGCTTCTCCCCACTGAGCCAAACTGTTACTGAGCAACTTGTTTGCATAATCATCTTCTCTATCAAGACAGTGCACTATCCTGAGGAAAATCCCTTGTGTGTAAATAAAACAAAACACAAAACGACAAGGTACAAGTTCTGGCCTCTAATCTGCTGCCTCACTAGAGCCACAGTTATGAAGTCTACTATGAATATATATTTATATGTACTACACAACCAGGCAACTTACGTACAAGGGATGGACTGACTGAAATATTTCAAATAACTTAGGGATTTCACTTAAAAGAATGTTCTGCCGGGCGGTGGTGGCGCACGCCTTTAATCCCAGCACTTGGGAGGCAGAGCCAGGTGGATCTCTGTGAGTTCGAGGCCAGCCTGGTCTCCAAAGCGAGTTCCAGGAAAGGCGCAAAGCTACACAGAGAAACCCTGTCTCGAAAAACCAAAAAAAAAAAAAAAAAAAAAAAAAAAGAATGTTCCATAATTGGACCCAGAAGGGGACTTTATATATACAATTTATATTATATAGATAGATATGATTTATATTATATAGAATTTAAAAGATACAGTAGAGTTATTGGTTTAGAGAATCAATCTATAATGCAGGAGGTAATGCTTCTGTAGCAATACATCTATCCATAAGGAACTGTGATCGCAAATAGCTGGACCCTCAGTCAATGCTAAATCTACATTCATTCTATCCCATCTGCATAGGAACCCACACTTTTACTAGTCTCCTCAAGCTTTCAACTTCACCAACAGCTTTACCTCCAATCTCACAGACCTAACGGAAGTCACAGACAGAAGCACCCTCAAGTCTCCACCTGCCCAACTCTGTTAACATATCTGCTCGAGCACCACTATTAGTGCTCACTCTTCCATTCTCAAGATGTCCCAAAGGCACGTCCTTTGGCCTTTGGAGAGAACAAAAACAACACACATATGCATGCACACAGGCACACTCACACCAATGCTCATCTATTCATTTAAGTTCCTCTTGTGTATGTTCTCACACGTATTCTCTCTCTGTGTCTCTGTCTCTGTCTGTCTGACACACACACACACACACACACACACACACACACACACACACACACACTCCAAGGTAGGGGAGAGGAAATATAAATTAAAAAAAAAACAAACCACCAAATCGGGAATAATATTTTCCAAAATTTACAATTGTAGTTTTGTTTGTTGGTGACACTTCCAAGCAGATAGGTGATTCTATTTTAGGAGAGGGGGCTCAGAAAAATCACATACAATATAATTAAATTTGTAATCAGAAAAGTCATGGAGGAGCCAAAGAGATGTCTTAGCGGTTAAAAGTACTTGCTGCTCCTCCAGAGGATCTAGGTTCAGTTCCAAGCACTAACAACCTCCTGTAACTTCAGTTCCTGGGGATCAGACACTTTTCTGGCCTCAGGCACCAGGCATACTTGTAATGTACATGTACACATACAAGCAAAACACTCATACATATAAACTAAAAGTAAGTAAAGCAAAAGAGAAAGGATTCATAGAGAATGTTCTTCTAGTATAATGTAATGCCTGCAGGAAAACACAGCTTGTTTTAGGATATAGTTTCCAGCATACTGTTTCCTTATAGCTCGTCCCCAAAAGAAGCCCGAAAGCAGTCTCTCACTCACTCTTTCAGCCAAATTTGGCAAGATGCGGCATTATGAAGTGGTCAGTGGCTTCACTTATGCCTTTGAAATGCTTGCTACCGTCCACACCAGTCAAATGTCCTCCTTCACGGCTTTACCCTGACTACGGAATAGGTTTTCCTCACTGAGAACTCACCCACTCTGCTGCTTCAACTATGCTTCCTTACATGAGTTCCCAATACCATGGAATCTACCCTCCCTGAGAACTCTGATATGTCATCTTCAGAGCCCATCACTTGTAAACTCCAGCTGCCCAGAAGAGCAACATCAGTACACTTTCCTTAATATCCAACAGAAAACAAAACAATCTATTCTGAAGTATTTCATACCTAAGAGCTTAGCTTTTTTTCAAGAAAACCCTCTTCTTATTTATAAAATTAGTAACACTGTATTTCTAAAACCAAGTCTCTCGCTGTTCAGCCCCACCCAACTCTGCTGCATGCAGGAGTGTGTGGAGAGGCTCCAGAGGCAGAGGGAATCACTGAGGGGGGCAGAGGGGCACTGTGGTGTCTGTATACAGGGGCAGCCTTGCAAGAACACAAAGGAAAAAAGAGTGTGTTTGGGCAGGAAATGTAAAGCATTGCCACCATTACTCTCAATTGTCCTAGGAAACGTGCCCATTTCCAGCTGTACATCACAGCAAAGCAACTCATTCTTTGAAATTTCTTTCACTACTACAGACCAAACAATGCACAGAATCAACGCTGGCATCATTTTTTACAGTTGTGGCTTATCATTGATTTGGAAGAATGGAACCTTCCAGAGAGTTGTCTTCTTACAGACTAATCTCACAAAGAATAGACGCACAGGACACCCAGGTTGCACCTCCATTTCCTTCCTAGTAAACTGTGCTTCAAACACCTGTCTTAGGCATTCAACATCAGTTAGGTCCGATGGGAATCAATGACCAGGGAGGCGACGGAATGCCATTCACTCTACCTGAGAACTCCGTCTACTTGGTCTTTGGTATAGACTTTTCCACTTTCGCCACCGCCGGGTGCGCTGTCCTTGGCGCAGGCGGGCTTGCTCTGGTCGCCGCCGCTCCCTGGAGGTTTCCGGCAATGTGTGCTGTTTCCGGCAGTACTTCCATTTTTCATAATTATTTCCAGTAATGCTGTGGAAAGCAAAGGGAACCGTACCTACTTACATCAGGACGCAGATACACCACTCCACATAAAGTAAAGCAAACTACAGTGATGTCTTCTAAAAAGATTTAACATGGCCTCCCCCTCCTTTCCTTTTGGGCGAGGTTGGGGGTGGGGGGTGGAAGGCGAGTGGGGGGTGGCTATTGTTTTGTTTTTCCCTTTGTTTAGACAGGATCTTGCTATGCAGTTGGGCTGACCTAGAATTATGTGGCCCAAGCTGGCTTTGAACTCTCAATTCGGCCTAAGTTTCCCAGTGCCAGGATTACAGGCACAAACCGCCAATTTGAGCTCTATAATGTTTCTTTAAATAACCAGCCTCTTGCTGGGCCTGGAGGCACAGGCCTTTAATCCCAGTACTTGAGCACAGAAGCAGGCAGATATCTGTGAGCTCCAGGCCAGCCAGAGCTACACAGTGAAACCCTGTCTCAAAAACAAAACAAAACAAATAGTAAATACTGGTGATTCTTTTAGTACATAACTGTCTATAGAACATTAACTGTCATTTAGGAGAGTTCCAAGATATGTAAAGTTAATAACTAGAAATCACTATCATCTAATTGTTATGACATGCTTATCACACAGTGAAACTGCAGAATACCCCCCAAAAGATAATATTCAAAGTAGTTAATGAGACTATTAAAAAATAAAATAAAATAAATAAAAAGGCAGCCGGATCTCTCTGAATTGGAGGCCAGCGTGGTCTACAGAGTGAGTTCCAGGACAGCCAGGGCTACACAGAGAAATCCTGTCTGGAAAAACCAAAAACAACAACAAAAAAGAAGCAGAAATTAGACTTCTGTTTATTTTTCAGCAGCAACAAGAGGAACCACAGAACACTGGAATACGATCTTTAAAGCAGAAAAAACAATTGTCAACTTGAGTTGAGCAGTAATATTCTTTCAAATATACAAAATAAAAACATTTTAAAGAGGCTGGAGAGAGAGCACAGCAGTTAGGAGTGCTTACTGCTCTTGTAGGGGACCCAGTTTCAGCTCCCAGCACCCACATCAGGTGGCTCACAGTCACTCCGACAAACAGCAATAATGTTGACCGTTTACTTGAAATAATCTGAGAAATAGGATTAACAGTAGGGTAGAAGGAATGACGAGGTAAGGTTGGTCAATATATTCTCAGTGGTTAAAGATACATGGTGCAATATGATTAATCATACTATTTTCGTGTGTGTGTGTGTGTGTGTGTGTGTGTGTGTGTGTGTGTGTGTGTGTAAGGGATGAAATTTTCCATAAAAATTAAAATTAATCAGTAAATAATTACGCTTAGCAAAAAGACAAAAGAAAACAGAAAAATTCACCAAGATGGTAGTTTTAACACATCTCAATCCAATGACTGACAAATTACTAAGGATAGGATAACTTCAAATTTATCCATCCTGAATTAAGAGACATGAAATCCAACTGATGTTTTGCGTTTTTGGAGACAGAGACTCATGTAGTCTAGGTTGGCCTAGAACTTGCAGCAAAGGATGACTTTGAACTGATAATCCTGCCTCAGCCACCTAGTGTTCAAATTACAGGTGTGTGCCACCATGCCACTTAAGCTGTGCTCGGGATTTAAGCTTTTGCATGGGAGGCAAGCACTCTACCCACTGAGATATATCTTCAGCTCTCTCTCTCTCTCTCTCTCTCTCTCTCTCTCTCTCTCTCTCTCTCTCTCTCTCTCTCTCCTCTTCTATAAGTGAAAAGGAGTGAAAATTGATAGCATTATATCTCGATGACAAAGTTATTTCTTCAAATCTCAATAAACTAGTGTCATATGAACTACAATCTAGGAGCAGCTGTGCTCACCTTTAGGAAAAAGTCAATTATAAAAATGTAACTTAAAATTGGGAGTGGTGGTTCACACCTTTAATTCTAGCACTACGGATGTAAAGGCAGGAGGATCTCTGTGAGTTTGAGGCCAGTCTGGTCTACATAGCAAATTCTGGGCCAGCCAGGGCTACAAAGTGAGACCTTGATTCGAAAGGAAGAGGAGGAGGGAAGGAGGGAGGGAGAAGGAAGAGAAAAAGTAACTTAAATCACAAGTAGGCTGGAAAGCAGAAACACAAATCATCATGCATAATAACAAAAAGTAGAGACAAATATCTAGCACAAAATGAACCATCCAGACAGTGAAATGCTATTTGGAATAAAATGACACTAAATATTAACACGCCTGCCACACAGATGACTGACAACACACTACGCTAATAAGCCAATGAAGTCAGGCGCAAAAGACCGCACACTACATGATTCCATTCACATGAAAAGCACAAGGCCTGGGGATGCGGCTCATAGGCAGAGACCTGGCCTAGCTAGCCTTGATTTAATCTCAGGATCACTGGGGTGGGGAGGGAGGCTGGGAACTCAGAGGAAGGAGAGAGGGAAGGAGAGAAAACAAACAAGAACAGAGCAGGTACTCGAACACTTAGAAAGTAGACTGGTTTTTAAGGGCAGGGATTGGTGGGTCAGAGGAAACTGAAATAAGACAAGGCATCCAATGAGCTGCTTTATCTCCAAGGTTGGGAAGTGTTCCAAAATTATGGCAATAGTTGCATAATTCTGTGAATCCACTAAAACCCACTTAACTGTGTACTTTAAATGAGTCAATTATTTAGTATGTACATTATATCCAGAAAGGTACTATACATACATAATTTTAGTTATATATTAAAAATTCCAACTGCTGTTGGCAAATTTGCAAAAACACAGCTATTACTTATACTATTCTTTTTCCATGGCTAAGAGATAAGAGGTCACCACTAGCTTTCAGCTGGAGTTCAGCCTGCATTTAATATAACCACAATGGAATCAGAATAATCTGTGTAGCAAGTGGTGATCCACAACATGTAAATAGCAAAACTTAAAAAAATAAAAAGAGCAAATGTAGATGAAGTGGCCTCAAACCCAAATCCTCCTGCCTCTGTTCCTTGGTGCTGGGATTACAGGAGTGTACCACCATGTCAGGAACTTAAAATTTAAATCTCGAATAAAACCAAAGAGAATTAAGTACCAAAATCATAACCTCATGCACAAAATCCCCTATTACATGATGACAGGAACGAACCATGAACTGCTAAAAATGTATGTTTGGGTAGTAAGTGTGTGTGAGACGCACAGAACAGTAAATGGGCATTTGCCAAGCTCACGGAACAGAAAAAGGGAAACCAAATAACCAAGAGGCCTTGTAGGCAAAGCTGAGAAAATCTGTGCAAAGGATGGTTCACCCACTTATAATCGCAGGAGTGCCTGGTCCACACTGAAGGGGAACTGCAGGGAACAGGATCCATACTGAAAGGGAAAGGTACAACAAAATCCGCAAGTGAAAGGGTAACTGCAGAGATAAATGGGGAGGGCACAGTGAGGGATTCCTTCCTGGCTAGGTGACATACTTTAAACATATAAAAATGGAAGGATCTCTGTATATTTGGAAAAGCTAATAAACAAACATTGCATAAGTAAGTAATGTAAGTAAGTAATAAAATAGTAAAGTAAATAAACAGTGAAGAAAATGATAGCGCTCCAACAATGCAAAGGATTGGTATGGCAAAGTAACTGAGTGTGACCATGAAGGTAATCAGCGTGCACCACAGGACTTGTCAAGCCAGCCGGTGAGGGGGAGACACTGCTCCATAGGAGCAGCACAGAAACCACTGACCAGATCACAGATGCGAAAATACAGGTAGAGTGAGGGATGGATGGCTCAGCAGATGCTGCCAAACCAGCCTGGCCGCCTGAGTTCAAATCCCAGAATCCACAGAACTCCATAAAGTTGGCATGCAACAAACATATACACATGCATACACGTGTACACACACACACACACAGAATATGAAATCAAAGGGGGTAAAAATCCATCCAAAAAGACAGGGTTGGCTGAGCATGGCAGCACAGGCTTGTAACGCCAGCACTCAGAAAGCAGAGCCAGAGTCAGGAAAATCAGCATTTGCTCAAGGCCAACCTGGTCTACACAGTGAGCTCCTGGCCAGCCCAAGCTAACAGTGAGACTGTAACTAAAATGAAAAGACTAAGTCAGCTAAGTTGGGCATGAGGGCACACCTGTAACACCAGTGCTTCGGCAGCTGCAGCAGGAGGGGCTCAAGTTCAAGGCCAGACTGGGCTACACAACCCTGTCACTGAAAAAAGGCCAAGCTACAAGAAACAAAGTTACTTAAAACAACAGATAGTACCATACAGAGAAATAAGACATGTAAAGGTTGAACATTTCAAAACTGAAAAATAAAAAATTTTGAAGGAAAGTGGCGAATACTGAAGATGAAGAAAAGCTAATACATGGAAAATAGACATCCCAGAGAAAATATAACGAGAAATAAAACAAGCATACAGTAATTAGACGACTTCTGACATATAAACAAAAACATCTAAATGACGTAATAAAATATCAGAAATCTTAAGAGTAAATGACACTTGAGATACACTCAAGTAAAGTTAGCTGGATATCCACACAAAAACAAAACACCAAAAACTCAAATGACTTCAATGGAAAAAGAGTTAGACTGTCCTCAGACTTTGTCCCTCACTAGCACTTGCACAAGACCTTGGAGTAGCCTACTTGTATACCCCCAAAAATGGAGTGTGAGCTACTGACTGGTCAACCTTGATGGTCTACTTGACAGGCTCTAGGATGACTGACAAGCCTCTGGACATGTCTGTGAGGGATTCTCTAGATGAGCTTAACTGGGGCAGACAAAGTCACTCTACAACTGGGCAGCATGGTTCCATGCCATGGGCGCAGGTCCTTCACTCCATAAAAAGGGGAAAGCAAGCTGAGCGCCAGCATCCGTCTCTCCCTGTTTCCTGACTACAGAGAAACGTGACCGAGCAACCTCCAGCTCCAGCTGCCAGGGCTTCTCTGCTATGGTGAGCTATTCCACAGACTAGTGAGCCAAAATAAACCCCCTTCCTTAAATTGCTTTTGTTGGGTATTTTATACTGGTAACATGTAGAGTAAC